GAGAGAGAGAGAGAGAGAGAGAGAGAGAGAGAGAGAGAGAGAGAGAGAGAGAGAGAGAGAGAGGCAGATTATGGTTGTCTTGTGACAGGTGGACAGAGGGAAAAGGTTTCATTGTCATGCTGATGAAGATGTAGTTGCAAAGACTGGGATGATCAACAGAGATTTGCACTCTGGGTTCATCGGGAAGGAGTGTGTGTGAGAGAAAGTTGAACCAAGATGATGCTCGTCCTGTGATAAATGAACAGAAGGCGAAGGCTGATTAAACATGCCAAAGGTACTGGAATGATCCTTGTGCCTTGAGGAATGACAGACGGGCGATTGTGTGTTTCCGCTGTGGACAATCCACCTCCCAGACTGAGTGGAATTGCAATTCACGGAAAGTACCAGATGCAAACGCACAGTTCCCCGCTGAGAACGAGGAGCATGGAGGGAAGTGTGGTGAATCCGTATGTCAAGCACTCATTCGTAGCGCTGCAGAGCTATCCAGTGTGGCCAACTTTGTTTGCTCAGTGCTGCGCCATGTGGTTCCTGCAGTAATGATTGGAAGCGAGCACAACTGGGGCGTTCTGCGACGAAATGTGGTGGAGTTTGTGAGGCTCCACAGGTGGGAGTCGATGACACTCAGTCATGCGATACGTGGTTTTCGTCTCTCTGATGTAAAGGGTTTGATGTCACACTCTTGCAGTCATCCGAAGACAGCCATCAAAGGTAAGAATATCATTGGCCGGAACAAGGGGAGAGGTCAGGAGGCCAGTGGTAACCCCAGACGGGCCAGTTTCAGTGTGAAGCGGCAGCGGTTGATGGAGGATTGGATTTACTTCTTGTTTGCTTCAGTGGTTATTCCTCTCATCCGTGCTCACTTCTATGTAACAGAGAGCGAAGGGGCCACACACAGAGTATGCTACTTTAGGAAGCCTGTGTGGGATATGCTGACAAGGCTTTGGGTGGAGAATATGACTGCTGCAGCACCAGCAATGCCATTGCATGCTGTCAACCATCATGGAAATAATAATGACGTCAACGACAGCAATTGCATGTACACAAAGTTGTCTCGTTTTCAAGTGTGTGCTCTTCTACGTCGGAAGGAGAGGTTGGCGGTTGGTTTCTCAGCGGCCCGATTAGTGCCAAAGGGCCTTGGGACGCGGGCCATAGTCAATTCTGGGAAAGCAATGAGCAAGGTTTTCCATCTTCACAAAAAGAGGGATGTTGGATCGAGTAAAATGTTTGGAAGGGGAGGATGCTCCAAGTCCACCACTAGGGGAGGGGGAAATTGGGAGAGGGAGGTTGTGCCTCTGCGATTCCAGCCAGTAAACTCTGTACTCCGAGATGCACACCATTGCTTGAAGTTTGAGCAAAGTCAGCATGGTGATGAAACCAGTGGCTCTGTGTTTGGATACAATGATGCCTACGCGAAGCTGAGGCGTTTCGTCACAGGGCTGAAGACGCGCCCTGGGGGATTTCCCAGCAGCCTATATATTGCAGTTTGCGACATGGCCAATGCATTTGATAATATTGACCAAGAAAAGATGAGGAAGATCACAGCAGGTTTTATCCGGGAAGAGCATTTCAAGGTTCAAAGGTAAGGAAATGAATCAGATCAGCACGCAGGGAAAACCTATGAGTGTGCTATTGGGCAGAAACGAAAGCGCACAACGGAATACATGGGTGAGAATGTTGTGCAGATATTCATGCTTGTATGCGTGTGTGGGGATCCACATGGACATGGAACCAATGCACATGTGCATGCTCGTGGATGATAGAAACTCAAGAAAACAGGGTCTTTCGAGCTTGATTCATCTGATGGAAGAACGAAATCAGGGATGGAAGGGTATGCTGTATGAAACTGGGTGTGCTGTGCACGGGCCTCCCACACGGGCCTTGGAGGGCCAGCCTTGGACTCCTTGACCCCATGGCCGTGTGATCCACATTTGGGTTACCTTAGGGCTGTGGTTCATTTTCTGGGCCTTGGTTCCTTGTTTGTTTGTTTGTTTTTTACAAAAAGGTGCAGTTTTATTATATGTCCAAACAATGAGGCTGGGAATTCCTCAACCTCTCAACCCGGAGAGTACTGGGTCCATTACCCAGGTGGGCTTGTTCTGGAAACCGGGTCCAGCGTCCCATTAACTGCAACCAGAAAACACAAACTGGACAAATAAGGCCAAAAGGCCCAAAACAGAAATAAAAGGAACAAATAATACCTCTATTTATCCCTACAGAATCTACAGATCCATAAAATCCCCTATTGTGACGAGGCGGCGGAGGTAGAGCAGCAAGGTCGGGGAAGAGTGAGGGAGGGAGTGAGAGCACACACACACACTCACTCAACTCGACACGGACTCGACACGATTCGACGGACGCAGACACAAGGTGGCAAAGTCGCAAAGTCGCAAAGTCGCAATCTTGGTTCCGTACACAATGTCGCAGCAAGTCACACTGAAGCACAAGCACTGAGGCCGAAAACTGAATCCCCGAACTCAGTTTGAGTCCGGTCTTAAGTACCGGACTCAAGTTGAGTCCGAGGGCAGAAGTGCAATTTGCCTCGGGGCTGAACTGAATATCGAAGGTCTGAGCCTGGGCGCCAGAATATCGGATGGCGCCAAGTATCGAAATCCGAAAGTGCCAGTGGCGGGATTTGAGAACGGGCGCCAACTGCAGAGGGCGCCAACGGTCAGGAACCGGAGATCAGAGACTCCAAAAAAAATAGAATAGCAGCCTGGCGGCGCGGATGGTAACCCGCGGAACGAGCCCTGGCTGGGTCCGTAACACTATCCCCTCCCTCTGGAAGGCAACGTCCCGGCTGCCAAAGACCCAATGAACAACTGTGAAGGACGGGACGGGGCCGATCACTGGTCAGGAAGGAAAGGGAGAGTAATGCAAGTAGCAGGGTAATCCTATGGGGGCTCTACAGGGATGAGGGAGTCAATGTTCAAGTAACAGGGTAATCCTATTGAGGTTCTACAGGGGTGAGGGAATCAATGCTCAAGTAACAGGGTAATCCTACTAAGGTTCTACAGGGATGAGGGAATCAATGCTCAAGTAACAGGGTAATCCTATTGAGGTTCTACAGGTGACAGGGAGGTCCTATTGGTGTTCTACAAGGTTGTAGGTTGTTAGGTTTGAGAAAGAAATTAAAAAAAAAAAAAAAAAAAAAAAAAAAGTTTGTTCAATGCTCAAGTGCTGGGGTGTCTGAGGGGTCTGGGAAAACAACATCTCAGGTCTGTAACAAAGTGTCAAAAGCGAAAAAATGTCTTGAGGAAGGTCTTGGAGGGTGTCGCAGAAATGGCAGTGAGGAAACAGTCTTCAGCAGTTCTGTGATGTAGACGGCGAGGACTTCAGCTTGATTGTCGCAGTAGCAGGTTGCGTCCGGTACATGATCTGATGATGAGGTCTGATCCGGATAGCAGGTCGCAGACTGACCTTGATGTCCATGTCAGAGGTGCTGCTCCAGAATTCTGTGAGTCCAAGGTGCCGGCGAAAGGGAACAGCATGGTGGCCAACCAGCTCTCTTATCTCCCCGTACTGAGCTGCAGCATGCCATCGTCCTCGTGCGCTTGCTTAGTCAATAGTTTTGTGATGATATATATGCCGGCGTTGCTAGCTCTCTGCGTTTGCAGATCGAACGGCGAGCGTCGGGCCAGTACAACCAGGCGATTCTTCAATTGAATCTTCAATTGATGTCTTTCATTGATGTATAGATTGCGTATTGTCAATCTGCGTTCTGCATTCTGCCCCCTGTTCTACTTTGTTATTATTTTCTTTATGCTTGGACAATACTAGCCCTGTTAGGTGTTTGATCTGGTATGTTGCTTGGTGCTACGGTTTTGTTATTGTATAAGGTATTGTGCACATAAGGACTGTGGTGGCGGTCACCGCAAGGATACAGGTTGTAACCCTTTTCCCGTGTAGTGGGTATAGTTACGGCCCACCTAAGGTTAGCCAAACCGGGGTGGCAGCCCCCATGCCCATCTCACCTCTTCGTCTCGCACTCTTTCGTGTAATCCTCACACATGAATAAAGCCTACAGGTTGGTTTGCTTTTGCTGAACTGACACTGTTGGTCTGTCGGTGCAAGGCTGTGAGTACTAGGATCACATTGGATCACACTGGGTCACGACACACTCACAGGGGGATGCAGAGTCATACATGAACCAACATTCTGTTGGCTCACTGCTAATGGTGAATACCATACGAACAGGACGGCGGCAGAATCAGTTCCCGAACTGGCCGCCGGGCCTAAAACCCTGCCTTTCTGTGCACCTCTTCGTCTCTTCTCTTACCAAAAAATGAAAAATTTCAAAATAATAAACGTTAGTTTTAAACAAATGAATTCAACACAAAGGATTAATCAGGGGATTCTTAGGAAGTTTCCTACTACTGGCATGGTAGGCGTAGTTCCAGGCAACATAGGTCAATCCTTGGTAGAGTTCCTATTGACACTAAATTAGACACGGTGGATCAGGGAATTCTTGGGAGATTTCCCATCGACACTACTTTAGGTATAGTTTCTCATAATAATTATCGACTCTTCTCTGCTTTTTCCTCCCAACCTCATCTACACGCTGATTCCACATGTCGCGTTGATTGGATTCGGCACCTTCGCTGGAATGTTGACCTCTACTCTGCACGCACTTGGTGCAAGAGGCAGTTGCAACAACTTAACACGGCGATTCAAGCAGAGCGTTTCGAATTGCAATTGAGAGGCATTCATCAGCAGGTACTGCAATCAGGTATGGACCCTCTCTTTGTCCGGGGAGTGATCTATGCCATCGTTCATATCCCCTCTGGGCATCTTTACATAGGTCAGACTATGCACTCCTCGCATCAATGTTTGCAGGAACATTGGCATGTTCGTCGTTCTGCTGCGGAGTTTCGGCGTCGCCGGCTCTACAGTGTCATGTCTTGTCAAAACCCCTCCAATTTTGCAGTCTGGCCCTTGGAACGTATTGACCCGGCCCTTTACTATACACGGCAAGGTCTTGTTGATCGTAACCTTTTTCGACGGGTTGCTACGATGGGAAGCCTATTGGGTATGCCAGTTGCGGACTCTTCATCCAGCTGGTCTCAACACTGTCCTGCCGCTTGCTCGCCTGCCTGCAAGAAGACGACAACGTCGTCCTCGTCGGTGGACACAAACAGGCCCTCGTCCGTCAGACCATCAACAGCCCCAACCTATTGATTTGCGTCTAGGCCCCGACTTTCAAGTCCGGTCTGCATTGCACAATCTTCTCTCACAGGCTGCTGCTGGCAATTCGCAACAGATGGAATCTGTCATCCAGCAAGCAACGTCAGTTTGGCATGCCCACTTGCCGCAGTCGTTGAGCAATAATATCTCCAATGCAGATATGACTGAGCATATCCGTCAGCTTGAATGCCTGATTCGGAAGTATCAACATGTCCGCCAGCAATACACAACTCAATCTCGAGATGCCTTGATCATATTAAAGTTGTGCACATGCACGAGGTGGCTCAGGTAACGGGGCTGCGACAAGCCCTGCATGCACCCCAAGTGCTCCACTTGCACCCTGACCCTGATGCCGCAGCACACCTGCGTATCTATGATAAGTTGTTGTCGCCAACTCACGTCCAATTCGCTAATTTCACGGAAGTTGCACTCAGCGTCACACCTGGGATCTCCCCGCCTGACCCCTCGGACTACCAATTTCGGAAAGTGTTTCCTGACTGCTCACACTTAGTCGACGACCATGTTGTTACAGCTGACTGCGACATTATTCCTGATGATCGCCTCCGTGACTTGTTCCATGAAGGCTCGAAGTATCGTCTTAATGGACAAATCGTTGATGAGCTTCAGGCTGTTAGAGTCGGCCTTGACAAGTATATTGCTAAATACTTGAGGTCGGTCTCTGAGCAGCTTCGGTCGGCCGCTCTGAACAAATTGCGGCAGTGGCGCTCATTTGGACATCCCTACCTATGATGTGCCTCTTGAGTCTTTTGCAGATATTCTGCAACATAACGCGCTCTGGAATCATCGGTGGGGATATACACACAAAGACACGCTGCCATATCTGTACTATGCACTTAAAGTGCACAAATCCCCCCCCGGGCTTCACAGTATTGTCGGTGTCACAGAGCGGAATAATCTCTCCCTGCCGCAACGATCTCGATCAACTGCACCATATGTTCATGCAGTCCACCATCGACCTCCACACAAACCCTTGGCCAGTACTACCGTCGCTTCTGCTCGCCTCAGCGTTGCACTACAAGGAGTCGTTGAAACTCTCTGTGAGAAGGATAATGTGTTGTATCAGCAAATCGGTGTGAGACGGTGCTGGATCGTGCAAAGTGCTGAGGAGGTGATGCTTGATCTCAAACGTAATTCCGCTTCTCTTCGTGACCATGCTCCTCGAACTGTTGATTTCACAACTATGCATACCAATCTTCCTCATGACTGTATTTGTCATAATGTATCAAAAGCGGTCGAGGAAGCCTATACATATGCCTTACAACAACACACACAGGGGCGCACACATCCTCCTACCCTTAACATGATTGTTAAAGGGCCCCGTCAAGGGGAGTGGACGGTTGATACCGGACCAAACACCTTAACCGTTTCCCAAATTCTTGAACATCTCCATTTCATTGTCACAAA